GGAGAGGGGTGGCAAAGAGAGACCCTTCCTTAAGGTCAGATGGTTGGGATTTGTGGAATCTCTTTCCTTTGACCCTTGCATTCAGTCATTTCTTCCTTTTGCAATATATCCAAAATCCATCTGTTCCTGTTCATCCTACTATGACCATCATCCTCTGTGCCTTGATAATTTTCTGCTTGAACTACACTCACCTTCTTTCTGGCCTTCCTGACAACCCCCTCAGTCTCCTCTCTTCTGTCAGAAAAGGAGCTGTCATTAAACTCCTCTTCCTCTCCCACTGCCCTAGACTATCAGCCTTTTGGCACGAATCCTTCCGTATCCCCTTCAGCATCTGTTTCAAAGTCCTCATCCTCATGTTCTTGGCTGGTACTGTTCTGCTTCTTCTTAGCACTGGCTGCCCATCATTTTTCAGTTCAGACCCCTCTCTCCTCCAGTTCCACCTCTGTTACCTCACGGTTCCTTCTGCCCTCAAGGACTTCTATGACATCTCCCATGCTGCCCACAGAGCCAGGAATTTCCTTCCTGATCCATTTTCCCACATCATATTCATCCTGTCCTCCTTCAAATCCCTCATCAAACCCCCTTTCCCAGAATCCCTCACATAATGAACCTCTAGAATGCTTAAAGTAAATAAAATGAACTTAAAAGTGTAATTATAAAACAAAAACCACCAGGGGTGCTGGAGCAATTTTTATAGTGGGGGTGCTGAGATCCATTGAGCCAAACTAAACCCTGTATATGATGGAACCACTTCAAGTCAGGGGGCATGGTAGCACACATACACACACCCTGCCCCCCCTAGTTCCAGCACCTATGAAAACAAGAGAATTAAGATAATACCTGACCATCCTTACAACACTGTTACCTTACTGTGTTTTCCCTGCTCCCTCTTCCTATATTCCTTGTCTGCTACCTCCCCTATTGCCCTGCCATGTCCTAATCAATTTAGATTATAAACTCTTTGTGGCAGGGATCCTGCCTTTACTTATTATGTAAAGTGCCAGGCACAGCTATGGTGCTATGTACAAATATTAATTAATAATAGTAAGTTTGGCGGTTCCTACCCACCTCCCTTTTATTAATGTAGAAACTATGGACATTACTATATTTTAACATTTATATTGCAGCAATTCCTGAAACTGAGGTAGGAGAATTGATTTGATTTCAGTTACTTTGTTCACAACATTGAACTCCAGATAAATTCTCTTAACTAGCCTATTTTATGTCCTGTAGAAGTGTATCGTGGTTGGCATTTTTATTTGGCAGTCTAATGACATTTTATATTAGAACAATAGATGGGCAGAATAGAAATTATAGATTTGAAGCTGGGGAACTATATCAAATGCTATTTAATAACTTGTGTTTTTTATAAATCCAATCTGGTTGTATCCCTTCGCAGGAGTATCTGGATTAACTGTATTTAGGAAAGGGGACAGTGCAGTTCTCAAATGTGTTGGTCTGCAAACTTGCACACCAGCTGTCCTAGTCAGTAGTGAAGATAACAGGGCTAAGATGAAGGTATTCATGCTGTTGGAAATACAGCTAGCTTTCTCAGGAGACTGCTTTGAGGAAGATTGCAGCAATATTGAATCCCCACTGTTACTCGTGGGTATTGCTGTGCATATATATAATTTGTGTTAGATAAAATCAGGAAGTAATAAGGGGGGGGGAAGAAGAGCTGTAAGATCTACTATATACTACGTTTTATATCTTAAGGAGAAAAAAATATCCAGGGAATGTTGCTTTAATTTGTGGGGAAAAAGAATGCTCCTTTAAATCAGAAAACGTGCGTTCTAGTAACTCTTTTAGTTTGGGAACCATTTGGGTGTGTTATAAAGTAAAGTTGCAGAGTAGACATGTTTACTAGAACTTTAATTGCTACATTTAGTAGAAAGGCTTTTTTTTTTTTTTTTTTTAACGACAAGAAGCCAGAGTTTGCTCTGCAAATGAAGCAGGCTTTGCAAGAATCAGATTCACTTTGGACGACTCTTCACATTCCTAGTCATCATTACATTAGGCAGCACAATTCCATCTCTGGTTGATGGGCAGAAAAAGTGGGCAGCCTGCCAGGTAGACGTTTCCATGGCTCCCAACCCCCAAAGGTGATGCGTTTTTCAGCTAATTCAGTGAAGAGTGGGCTGAACTTTGGGTATAAACTAGACAATAGCTGCCTTCGCAGTATCAGCAGAATGGTTTATGGGAATGCACTCCACATTTGGCAGAGAATCATGTGACCTTACGGCTGAGATTTTGTGATGGTGCCAACGGAGACTTGGAAAGCAGCACCCGTTCTGACTTTTTTCCTCCTTTCTTACATGGCTCAGAAAATGGTGGATCTTAATACTTGACTTTAGCCAGACTCAGCAAGCGATTGAGCTTTGAAGCACAACTTTGCCTTTATTCTGGCTTTTTTGGCACACCACCAGGAGGCTGTCCCTTTCACGCCTGATAAACTCTGCTGCTTATCTCTAACTAGGAAAAAATAGATAGATATAGATAGCTAGATAGATGTATATACAGAATATTTAGACTTAATAACTGAATTTTAAAACTACATGTTCTATTTTTTTTATTGCTGAACTGTGGTTTATAACAATCTTTTTGAGTGTCTGAAGAATAAAAGTTCTTACTGTTTAATGAACAGGCGTTTGAACTGGGCAAACGGGGCGACAGCTCTGAACATGAGATCATTGCAGCATAGTGTAGCAAACTGGCACCCTGCCTTTTCACCCTTTTGCTTCGGCAGATTTGTGCAATCCCCATTTATAAAATCAGCACAGGGGCTAGATGAATTTTCTGGTCTCTTCCACCTCTATCACTGTGCAGGCACTTGCAACAAGGATTGGTGCAGCTTTTGCGCAGTGCTTTGTGCTTGGAATTCCGAGAAGAACGAAAAAGAAGACAGGCATCCTGGTCCTATTCCGAGAAATAACAGGAGCCTAAGAAGAAACAAATCTGAGTTTGTCCTAGATACAAGAGTGATGGAAAAAATGTGAATCTCCTGCTTCAAAAAAAAAAAAAATCTGGCACGTTTAACTACAGAGACATCAGGATGTATTAGAGCTTCTTAAAACAATATAACTAAATGAGCCTAAGCGATTGTTTCTTTTATTTACCAAAAAAACTTTATTTTATTTTATTATTGCTTAAATAGCAATATTTGGCAGTGGGTGAAAACGTACCTTTCATATCAGGTATAGCTTATTTTTCTTTTCTTTTCTTTTTTTCCATTTTAAACATGTTATTTTGAAACAGAGTCCTTGTGTATTAAATTTACCGTAGTCAACCAATCACACCTCTTTCTTTCTTTTTTTTTTTTTTTTACTAACTTTTGGTTTCACTGTTTGATCTAATACTGCTAAAAATAGAAAAGTAAACAAACAGGAAAACCAGAAACTATATAAATAAGTAGTTGGCACATTTTATCTTAGCTAAGCACTGAAGTTACTCAAAGATTTTAATGGTTATATGTATTCAGTATAAGCTTTGGTTATCTGTAGGAAAATGGGTATTTGGAGCTGGTTGCTACGGAAAGTCGATTCTTTTTTTATACAGTGTGACTCATGCTTTCAATTCCTAAAGAGAGGAGGGGGGTGGAAAAAGTTAAAGCTGTAGGAGAAGATCACTCTTGTAAGCAGTATATTAGAGCAAAGTTATTATTGATTTCGTTCACATACAATCTTACAATCTGTGTTTAAATCCATTACAAAGAATTCAGTGTAATTAGCACAGGAATAAAAGGCACATTATTTGAAGTTTCATGCAGTAAGCCTGGTTTGCTGCTAGTGACAGTGCCTATTTTAGGATGTTTGGTAAATCAGCACTTGTCCTAGAATAGTTGAAACAGTGCTTAAGATACCCATTCAGTATTTTTGTGAGAAGTGCATACAAAGTTACTGTAAGTTTAAAACACAGTGCTGTGTCAGCAGATCATTTGCTTTTTAATCATTTTGTCTGTCTTTGGAAATAAATTGCTAGGCAATTGGAACAATTTGTAATAAAATGCATTTTCCCTAGCAAACAATGAAAGTGTTGTCCAAATCAATATATTTTATATATTTTCAGTATGATTTTTTTCTCAGTCTTTGTCTATTCTTTTGAATCCTATATTAAAAAGTCATAAGTCCCTAGGCAGAAAATACCTTGAGATAGAAAATGTGATTCCATTGAAAACTTTGATTTTCTTATTTTAAAAAACTGTAATTTTTTGTTTCTTTTCTTATACAAACTTCATAACCATCTTATGGTTTTACAAAATATATTTAGTGAAGTTTACACATGTATTTCACAATTTATAGATTACCAGTTGGATAGCTGCTCTAAGACTACCTGCTGAATTGTGCTACTTTATATTTTTGTTGCTTTGCAGTGAATTGTGGGAAATTACTAAATGGAGATCATATATGTATAGGAAAGATATAGCTCTATTCACCTGTATTAAAAAGAACAAATTTATTGTGATTTCTCCCCAATACTTGTGTAAAAATAACTACATATGTCAATAATGCTTATTCGTATAATGCACAACCTATTCCTGCATTCTCTTAAAAGAACATAATTTTTTTGTAAATTTAAGCATAGCAATCAAATTATATATTTTTCTGAGTTTTTACAAAAGTATCTTTTTTAAAATTATCGTAAGTGTAATTGAACTTAACTTTCTCCAATATTTTTATATTAAGTTCCATTCCAAATTAAAATCAGATAAGCATCTTTAAGCAAACCTTTTTTATTGTCTACCAAGTGTACACTTCTGTTTTTGGAATTATTAATACAATTTTAAATTTTTTTAAAAAAAGAATAAAGAAACACAAATGACACAGTCACTTTGCCTAAGTGTGTATGGCTCACTGCATATTTTGCCAGTGGCCTTCAGAGGGGCATTGGTTTTAGATCTTTAAAATTATGGTTGCTATCCTTTTACATATTTCATGTTCTAAAAATACTTTCACAGAATAGACCTTTTCATTATTTCTCTCTAAATCATTTTCTTCTTTTAGTGCAAGGAAAAATTAAAACGGACATGAAAAATGAAGAAGTTGGTTATACCAGAAATCAGTGAAGGTAATAAAGTGATCTTCTTAAACATTTTTACGTATATAAAATAAACAAATATTTTATATATATATATATATATATATATTTAAATAAACAAAGTGGGCAAGAACACTGAAAATACTAATGTAAAAGGATTGTCTTTTTGTTAAAAGGGAACGTGACAAAAATAATCTTACAGATATCTATTAAACTTTTTTCTTTTATTGTTTTCTGTTGGGAATAGTGCACTACTGGTTTCTTTTATCCTTTTTTCTGTGTAACTTTAGACTAAACTGAAAAATCACTATATACTTTGGATCTTTTACAGTATATATATATGAAGTGCAGTGACCAATGTGGGTTTTTTTATGAAATGTTAAATACCTCTCCATCATTCTTAGAAATGGAAATATCTGAGAAGTCCTCTCCTGTAGCATCCATTAGAATCAATCAGTAAGAGATATAAGCAGTCAGTATTCATGCTTTTGATAATCTTAAATATTTTAGGCATAGGGATTGGCTTTTATGACACAATATGTTAACCCTTTGGCTTCAGCAGAAAGCATGTATAAAGTTTTGTTACTCTTGAATGCACACGTACATAAAATCATAGCCAGTTTAAAACATGCATTTCTGGAAAATAATTTGTTTAAACAATTACAAAAAACCAAGTAACATATCGTAGATGTTCTAAGATTTAATCTACTAAATTATTCAAAAACACAATGGTCGTTCACAGGCTTCAGATCATTGTTACCCTTTTCAAACTAAAAGTATTTGCTGCAGTTTTCCAGATACTGAACAGAGTATGGGCCTGATGCAGTATCCTTGTGCTAGCAGTACTCTCACTCTCTTAAATGGAAGTTTTCCAGACTAAGGACTACAGAGTTGGGCCTTTGATGGGAAACAATTTAAGGTGGATATTGAAATCTAGTTCAGATACAGATTTTCAGCTGCAGATTTTCAACAACCTGCTAAAACCAAATCATCTCTGCAGCAGTTATTTTAATAAGTGCACCTCTGCTGCCAATATTTTAAAAATACATTTGTAGTTATGCTGTTTTAGAATTACACTCATTTATCATGTATTAATCTTTAAAATATTGAGATGAAATTGCATTCATGTAAAATATTTAGATTATAAAAATGTGTCCGTCTGTCTCACCTGTTGAGTTACTGAATATTTCTACAAATGGCCTATTTGGATGAGGCACCATACTTTGGGTCAGTGAAAACAAGGGCAAATTTGGTTTATGAGTTAATCCTGAAGTTTTACCAGGAAGCAATATGGTTTGGAATTTTGGTGAACAAAATATATAAACTAATTTCTGGGGTTTGATTTTTATATGGTTTACTTAATAATCAAGTTCTTGGTAAGAAGTACCTGTAAGCATTGTAATATGATGAAATCTCTAATGTTGGAGCCCAGCTCTCATACATGATGGATTTTCAGATACAGTGGTTTGATTTTCATTGTTGGTTTATAGTACGTTTCATATTCAAGCATAGAAGCCGATCGTATATTGTTCTTATTATTTCACATCTAATTATGGGACCCAATCCTGCATTCTTTGGGCATGCAAAACTCCTGTGGAAGTCACTGCGAATTTTGGATGCACCAATGTTGCATAGTTTATGTAAAATGATGTTTATTCTGATTATGGCTAAAAAGATTATGCAGTAAACCTGTCAAATATTGTAGGGTTTTTTTTGTATTTTCCTCTTTTTAAAAAAAGTACCAAAGTTATTTTCTGAAGGCCAATTGTTGGATTATGCAGCCTCAGGTTAGAAATATATATTAATTAGGTTTCTTTCTACAGTTGATTTAAATATTTTACTCTTTGATTATCCTAATTATAAATGCTTCGCAAGTTATTTTGTCCTAAGTCTTCCACATTTCATTTAAAATGGGAGATGCTAGCTGATGGTGCCAATTGGCATAAACCCGTAGATCCGATCTTGTGGTAAAGTATACTGCACAAGCTCGCTTCTATGGGTCTGTGTCATTCTGGTGATCTGGCAAAAGATTACGTGACAAGCTACTTGGTGATATTTGAAAATCTGATGTCTAGGTAATTGCTTCAAGTAAAAGCGGATTTTGGACATTTTGTTAAACTTTTAATTCTGTTATGCTTTTGTTGTCATGTGCCTTATTAGTGTATTAAATAATTTTGTTCCATTTGATTTATTTAAAGCACTCTTGTCTTAAAATCAAATTAAAAACCTATACTCATATTTAAGGAATTTAAATATTTTTCACAGAGCAAGGGTAGAGTATACCAGTTTTAAATAAATACATAACATGACACAATGTTAAATTCATATAGCATGTGGTCAAAGGAAATAACTAAATTTGGATGTCTACTTGATTTTTATTTTAAAAAACACTAAGTGACCACAGTGAGTTCTTTTAGAAATATAGTTGGATTCTCATCATCCCTTTAAACGTTTTTCTTAAAAAGAAAAGATCTGGATGAAACTGATTGCTAGCAGTGCCCTCACAATATACAAATATGTATTTTCATTATAATGTTAAAAATGGAACATGACTGAAAATAAAGTTAACTATATTTAACATTTTCAAAATCCACCCAGTAGGGAGCACATAGATATGTGACTGCCATATTTGAAAGAGATGCTGAAGATGTGAAGAAGACTTTATGGTCACCGTTGGAAGCTGTGTGCATCCGGGTTGAGGTAGTAGGTTGTATGGTTTAGAGTTACACCCTGGGAGTTAACTGTACAACCTTCTAGCTTTCCTTGGAGCACACTTGGGCCATCGAGGAATTCATCATCATTTTAATCTGATCAGGGAAACTGTGCAAAAAGGTATTGTGTTACAGCTATACAGAATAATCACTCTAAAGCTTTACTGATGTTGAAATAGTCCTGATTACATGATTATTTCATTCACATCCTGTTATGAACCATGCTAACATTCTTTTAATGGACTGTGACTACACGCTACAGACACTTAGAAAAGAGTGATGGTGCTTTAATTCCATTAACAACATGGCTTTAAAACTTGATTTTAATATACAGATTGATAAAATATCAAGTATTAGATATGGTACTAATTTTCTGTAGGATTAGCTAATCCTAAATAGTTGAAATTAGTTGATTTTCTGCTACTATAGAGAAACAAACTATTTAAAAATACTTCTCTTTATGACTCTTTGGAATAAATATTGCATCACGCTGTTTAGGTAGATACATAGTATTATTGTCTAGTGCTGAGCTTTGTGTGGGAATGTGATATCCTTTCTTATGCATACGTTGTCCTACATTGTCACCTCGATTCTAACCTGGAGCACTCCTGCTCTTCAATTGTTAGATTTCAGACACAGTCCTGCCCAAGAACATCAGTGTTGACTTGCAGCACCCTAAGCATTCTAGTTCTGGGTCCTCCCATAGTTCTATCAATGTACCTGAATCCTGACCTGTAATAACCTTGTTATTTCAGTCCCGGGTCTCTCCTAGACACAGGTTGCCATCTGAGCTAACTTGTGCTAATGATGATGGCTGAAGTTAACAATAGGGACCACCATACCCCATTTGTTCATAATCAAACTCAAAACTTTAGTCTCCATACTAAACTTTAGATTTTTAGGATTTAATTTTGGCATACAGCCATAGCCCATCAAGAGATGAAAGAGACCCTGTCTATATCTCCCAGAGTTCCAGCAAGCATCTTAAAGAGGGTGTAGTATGTGCTCATTTCTGCACCCAGCCCGGCAGGGACAGGGGCCATGGTTCCAGCTGCCTCTGCTTCCTTTTCAGAGATTAGTGCAGATACAAGAGCTAGCCCTGTAGAGAACTTGTGTTCCTTGAGTTCAAGTCACCTATTTTTGAAAAAAAAAATGATGATAGAGTTTAGTGGAGAGAAAAATACTTTGACCTAGGGCAGTTAATCATTTTTCAAGCAAAACAGGTAGATAGATGTGTATAACTCAGGGACTGTTTGATTTTTATGTCCTGTGTTAAATATTCTTATCATGTACTTTCCCTTCTGTCTACCATGGCCCTAAAAAAAATCATTTTGCATTATGTATATGAGTACTTTTGACAGACATTTCATCAAATAGATAAAATAATCAAAGGACTATCACATTTAGGCCATGTAAGGTTTAAAGAGGCATTATATTGATCAATTGATACAAGGCACTCTTAAGCCAAAATAAGAATTCCACACAAGGGATTGCACTGTTTTAACTAAATTAGTTTCTAAACCAATTTAATTAAATCAGTACACCTTTCCCATGTAGGCAAGGCCTTACTGGTGAGAAGTGTAATGGGGATGAAATTCTGCAAATCAGAGTATTACTAATAAGAAATATAATGGTGGAGCGCATTGTGTTTTTTCAGCAGAGAGACATCTGATGCCGTCTTCCTAGCAAATAACAAAGCTTTGTATAAAATGGGCATTGTTCTATGTTGGTCATTATATAATATCCAGTAGACTACCTTTTTTCTGATATTAGCATTAAATTAGGTCCTTCTCTGAGATTATTTAAATATGTGACCATTTATATATTGTGTTTTACAAAAGATGTGAAAATGTTTTGCTGCTATCATTCTAAATCAAGGGCAGAAATACAGCTCATCCATTTCTACTGTAAGTGAAGGCCAGAGATTTCATTACTGAGAATTTTTAACCACGTAATAAAGTTCCCAGCATCCATTCAGAAAATAAAAGAGAATATGTCCAATTTCAATGTAATGCCTGTATAGGCCCCAAACCCTTGGGGGCAAAACAGGAATCGCAAACCAATGAAATATGACCCTCAAATTGCAATCTCCGTTGGGGAAGAAAATTGGGCTCATAGGAGGCACGTCTTGAATCTGTGCATGATTGCAAAGCCTTTCCCACCATGCTAACATGGCATTGTTTTGTCCATTCTTTGCTAGCTTTGTACTCGTGTTTGTTATGGCTCAGAACCACAATTACTACAAAGAATTCCTGCCATCCTAACACTTTGACAAAGGTCAGATCAAACAAGCAACCTGCTGTAGACTGTCTATTTTTGAGGTGCTTCCTGAATGTATCAGTAGGAACAAGAACCCTATCTCACCCCACCAGCCATTATGAGCAGGGTGGAAGGATGGACAGTCTGAAGGTCACCAGTGAGAAGCATGAAAGAGCTTCCCTCCGATCAGCGGTCTTAAATTCCCTCTGTTGCATTGGGAAACAAGTAAAAAAGTCTGGCTGTCTCCTAACCTGCAAGTTCTCATACAGGAAATCACTGGCCTTATAGTGGCCAAGAATGATGTCGGGAGAAATTCAGATCCTTTCCTTTTGACTTTCCTTCCTTTGCCCTGTGAGGTGTGGGAGGAGAGGAAACACATTTTTCTATTTTTTTTTTTAATTTTTAATTGAATTTATTCTTGCTAATTAATACCTGCAGCAAGGAGATTAGGAAATTGTACCTGCATGATAGATGCCTGGAAAGTTTAAGAGCTAGATTATGGCTTTTGAGAGACAACCTTGATTAGGGGATGGTGTGGAGTTGCCCCAAGCCAGTGTGGGGGGGCATCAGACAGTTTTAGTAAGCTGCAACTAAGCAAGTGTGGGAACTGTGTTGCTCACCCAGGAGACTGAGCGTGGGCCACTCCCAATCTAGACAAAAAGGTTTATTGTCCTCTTTGGATTAAAAGTGGCCCCAGTCATCACCAGTATGTTGTTTTCTTTTGTTTTTATTTTCTTTTGTAGTTTAATTCCTTTGGAAAGAGATGTTATTGCTGTTTTCTGCCAACAATATAATATTTTATATTAATTTTACAAAATAAGGAGGATTGTTTGATCTGAAACCAAATAGAAATGACTGGTACAGAAACTGTGGGAATGTTTCTTTGGTCTTTTAACTGCATGATAGAATTATAATTCTATCCAGAATACTTTATAGGTTGTCACATTTTCCTTGTGTCATCATTAACTTTAATTAAAATGTTTTTACTTTACAATGTATAATGTGTTGTTTCTAGAGTTATCAAGTTACATGCAAAAATTTATGGGAATGTCAATTAATTTTAAAGCAGATTAAAGCAGAGAATGAAAAACAAAAAGAAAGGACTCTATTAAGTACAACTGGATGGAGCAGGTTATAGTCTTTAGTTTCATTTTGAAGCCATAAGATATATGGTCTGTTTTAGGCAAAACATGGCATTCTTGACCTTTAAAGATGATTACCAGGATGCCAGAATACCAACTGATCAAGCAGTAATTAGCATTGTGTTGCTGTGTTGTGTTTTCTCCTTTAGGAAATAAATGCACCCCTATAACATAGTTTATCGTGAATGTTTTCAAATATAGGACAAATCTGGCAATATTTATTCACATAAGTAATCTTTTCTAAAGTAGGCCCATTGATTTCAAGTAGTCTCAGTACTTTGTCGTCACTTATACTGCCTGTGTGCATAGGGAATATTCACATGTATAAGAGTTGCAGGATTGGGTTTAAAGTTATGGGCATCTTGAACTCCCATTGATTTCTCCGGGCGATACCGGTGTTCAGTATCTCACAGGGTCTGACCCATGGAAAGAAATATCCCACAGTTCTGTATGTATTATTGCAGAGACACTGACCAGCCAAATTTGCTTATCAATTCCACTGATTCCTGTGGAGATTAGAGATTAGCATAAACCATAACCTAGTTCCAAACCCACAAACTTTTTGGGTGTTCAAAGTATGGATACAAATTTTTCAGGTTGCACCCATGCCAAATCCTGCTTGCATATAAATCAACTCACTTGAGTAAGGTAAGGAGAACAGCAATGCACAAATCCAAAGAAAACGTATACAGAAAGAACACTTTGGGGTTAAAAATCATGGGCCAGATTCATGGATACAGTGTGGATGCTTTGACCCATTCCAGTGAAACATAGCAGCCATCAACCCAGTCCGACTGGTTAAACCACGTTTCTAGCTACTCTGCATTGCCAAAACAATACAAAGCAGTTGGAGCATATAGGTGAATCTGGCTTCGTATAGTTTTAGGTGACATATTTTCAAATCCCCGTTAGATATAATCCCTTTAGATTATCAAATTGAAAGAAATTTAAAAACCTAATTATCTTTTCACAGTTTCTGCTGTTTTTCACTTCACTTGGACAAATGAAAATAAACTGATCAATTTTGCTGTAGTTTTTCATCTGTTTCACTTTCTCTTGTCAGAAACTAGCTCAAGGCAGCAGTCTTTGGGTTGAGAATGTAAGGGAATGTTTAAACCCAAACCAAAAAATGTTTTCATTGACGTTTTTAAAAGGGAGAAATTTACTAACAGCATTTATTAGACTGTGAAACTTTTCTTTGTGACCATTCAGGAGCCCTACAATAGGTTGCTTATCAGGTAAAGGGGGATCAAAATTGCATCTGACATTTTTTGAATTATTTTAGTGACAGCCTGTTACCCAATCAGGGTGGTCTCCAGTACAATTTCCTCTATTAGTTATTTTTAATAAAACTAAAATTTTGGGCCTAATCTGTCTGAAAGGGTCTCTTTAAACATGACTATTACTTTTATTAGATGGGTAAATACAAGCTTGTATAAAAGCTAATGTGCATTATATCTCCCACCAGAATTAAACTTATTTCAGCTTTTACTTTTCTCACCTAGTAAAAATATTTACATCCAAGTGATTTTTTTTTGGCTTTGTTTAACTTTGTACATGGTTGCTGGGGCTTTCGTCTATATTTTATTGCTAATGGTTTAATTATAATTTATGTGGCAATTTCAGTTACATTTGGTGCAGTATTTCCTTTTCTCCACCCCCTCTGTTGTATTAGTGGTTTGTTCTTGTAACACGCGCACAGTAGGAAAGAGCCTTGTGTTTCTGCAGGAGATCTAGCTTATGAAACTTTCAAAGAAATATTAATTCATATTCCTATAAATGTGGGTTGGGATGGGGGAGAAAATACTTGGAAAAAATAGGTGCATTCTTGTCTTCTCTAAGAGCAGCACAGCATTCTTGTCTTCTCTAAGAGCAGCACAGCATACACTGTGCAGAGTTCTCCTTCTTTAGATAGATATGTATGCTCAGAATTGGTTGTGTCCAGTCTTCAAATTCATGTGATTAATATTTAACTGGGACTTATGCAATGTTGGTCATTTAAGACCTCATGTTTAGTGCCATAATAGCACAGATGGAGTACCCACTGTCTTGAATGCCCTGGCCCCAACTTCCTTTGGAGGTGGAATTCTCACCTGAATCACACAGCTTGGGAACCTGATCTGATGACTTTTCTTTTTGGTGCTGGGTGTGGTGGATAGGCCTGAGCTCAAATGCTTCAGGCATGTTCAAGCCAGCTGGCCAGCACACCAGGAGCATCAGAAAGATGATGCAGAGTCAACCACAGCACACTGTGTCCCAGACTGCCCGCATCAGAGTTCAGACAGTCTTGTCTGCTGCCTGCTTTTGTCCCACAGTTGGGTGAGAGTCATTCTATACTTTATTATTTTCTTAATGTATACATATATATTCTATTGCCATTTAACAGTTATTGCCCTGGCAAAAATCTGTGCATTTTGAATTTCTCAGCCAAACCACTTGAGCTTTTGTTTTCAGTGTTGGCCTTATGCTTATCTGGGAAACACATCCCCTCATATAACCATTCATTTCTCTCATATGATCTTCTGCTTGTCTCTGGTTCACATGTTTGAATTTATTTCCCTGTTGCTCCATTCCTACTCCTTCACTTGCTGATTACAATTTTGCTAGTGACAAAGCCTCCAGAGACTGCAGAGTATCACAGATAAGACAGATTTGGGTTTTGCAGAGGTTTGGGGTTTGCCCACAGACAAGGAGTGCTATGGGAGACTGAGGGGGAAGATGGAAGGGGAGGGAGGAAAGTGTCCTGGTCACAGGTACACAGGGAGACAGGTGCTTAACCAAACCAAAGCTGAACACAACCGGCATGGAGGGGTCGTGTCTGCTATTCCAGCCAATAGACTGGAGCAGCAGCCTTGAGACATGGCTGTATGACACCATAACCTTGGATTCAGTGTGAAGATATGACATCTTTAACCACTGTGTAACCCCTCCCACACAGAGCCTGAAAACTTGGGTTTCATAGGAGTGGACAGATTTCAAACTAAGTTATTGGATTCTGAGCCTTCTGAGGTTTGCCCATGCGTAGACCTGCCTTTCTGTTGACAGCAGTTTCTAGGCAGATCCACAGCTTTGAAAATAGGTGATTGATAGTCCTTGAAATGTATTGTATGTATTTCACTTTGCAGTGATATGCACTGTGTAGATCTGAGAAGAGAATCAACAGAACCCTTAGAAATACTTTATCTCCTACAGGCATTAAACTTTGGGGTGGTGGAGTAGCTTGCTTATCTATATTTTTCTTTATTTAAAAAACATCTAATCTTTCTGATGATTCCTAAAAATATGCTTTCACCTTCTATTTACATGACTACCTCTTTGGGGTGAGAGGTTTCAGAGTAACAGCTGTGTTAGTCTATATTCACAAAAAGAAAAAGAGTACTTGTGGCATCCGATGAAGTGAGCTGTAGCTCACGAAAGCTTATGCTCAAATAAATTTGTTAGTCTCCCACAAGTACTCCTTTTTGGGGTGAGAGTAGCTCAAACTCCATGTGCTTTCAGGGCCAGTGCAATGGTCTGCACATCCTCATGAGGCTGATCACCTGAGCAGATGCACAGAAATGCCCATTCACCCCTTGTATGCCATGGAAATAGACCCCTGTGAGGGTAATCCAGGGTTTCCATTACTCCACGCAACTGGCTTTGAGGAGTATGGCCACTATTTTAGCCCATATGAAGTCCCACTCATATTTATCCTGATTGGAGAGTGGATTCACCTCTCTGACCACTCTTACCTTCGCAGGGCTCGAATGCTTGGGCTTTATGCAAGTGAAGTGAATCCCACCCAAAGTCTTTGAATCCCCTGATGTGACTTCCAGCAGTGGCTGTGTTAACTTGTGCCAGTTCTGAGGGTGGCCTTCTGTGATGTAGACACTGGTCCCAAGGAACGAGATTGTGACGAATGGCACACCCTCTATGTCATTGAATGTCTACCAGGTTGTGACAATTTTTGGCCTCTACCAATCCATGACACATTTAACTAACAATGACCTATATGCATTAAGATCCTGATTCCAGTTCTGATTATTTGAGCCTGATGGTTTGTATACATTTTCTGAGGCAAGTATTCTAAAGCACTAAGGGTTAGATTTGGTATTATGACCAGGCTTCAGGATATGATTTTTATTAATAAACTGAATCCTATATTGGTGAAGGATTTAATTAATATGCTTTGTTATAATGTACTAGAAGATTGATGTTTTGCTGAAATTATTTGGCTTCTAGTCTAAATATCTTATTATTTACAAATGTTATTGTTACCGTTAATGACATTTCTAATGAAAACTAAGGCCAATTTTTTAAAATTTGAGTAACAGAGTTGGCACCTAAATTCCTGTTTAGGGTAAAAAATTGAAAAGCGCTGAAATCTTGTTTTCAGAAATGTCTTAGGAACCTAAGTCCCATTGACTTACAATAAGATTTACGCTCCACAGCACTTAAGTGACTTTTGACAATGGGACTTAGGCTCCTAAGTCATGTAGTCACATTTCAAATATTCCCCTTCGGTTCATAAATAAGTGGCCTGATTTTCAGTTTGTGGACTGCTCTGTGAAGGGTGCTGCAGCTGCTCAGTACTTCTGAAAATCAGGCATTTATAATTTAGGTGTCTAATTCTGGATTTACAGGACATGCCTAACTTTAGGCACTCAACTTTTAAAACGCTGTCCTAACTTTTCTACTATTGTACAATTGGTGCTACTACTGTATACTGATTCTGTAGTTAGTGGACGTTGTGCAAATGTGAAAAATAAGAATATTGGCAAAAGGAGCATGAAGGAAATTAGCAGCTGGGCACTGGGCTCTGCAGTTGATGACATAATTTGAAGAGTTTATCAAATGAAAGCTCTTTATTATTTCCAGGTACATACTGATCATATAAACAAAAATTAATATGTACATGTAATATAGGCCTAAACTCTGCTATGTGCTGTGCAGGTGTTCAAAGGGGACTGGTGAGTAAGGATCTTCCTCTTCTTCCCCACATGAGGAATTCTGGATCCTTCCTCAGATCTACTGAAGGGGCTTTTGCCTTGTCTCCTGTCTTGCGTTCAAGCATGTTGATGTCAGTGGAACATGCAGGCTTCTGCTGTGAGGAACAATCAGCATCAGGTTACAGTGGGCTCTCTTGAAACACTCTGTGCTGCAGCTGCAGGGATGGCTCTTGTGCCAGCCAGGATTAGAATGATACCCCCGCTCCCCCGCACACACACACACTCTCTCTCTCTCTCTCTCTCTCTCAGCAGGCCTTCCAGGTAAGGGCAAGATTTTGCTCATAGTGAGGAAAGCTGTTTCTGACAGAAATCAAGGTTATTTGGCTGAAAATATTTGAATTGTATGTAACACATATTTGTCTAGCTAAGTTATTTATTAGTTATATAGCTAAGCAGATATACAAACTGTTTTAGCAATATAAGAAGATAAGTTTTTAAGGTCCCAACCCTGCATCAGGATTCAGCAGCACTGCCCCTGGGCCTATCTGGGGTCATTCAAGTCAGTAGGCCAATGGCATGGGGATCCACGCTAACAGGAGGCCCAGGTAATCTCAAGCAAACAGTGCCGTATCTTTCAGTGTGAACAGGTGTAGTTTTGTCATGAGGATGCCTTTTAAATTAGGAGAAGCTGGCTATTTCAATGCAGTATAGACTCTTCATATCTGTATGTGACACTAATTTAATGACGTTCCTTAGTGTGGAACATGTTTTGTAAGGCTGACTTCCAGTTTTATGGATTGTGCCTTGAATTTATCTCTGCCTGAACTCTTACCTTTCAACAATGACTCACTACAGGTTCAGTGAAAATATCTTTGGTATTATTGGTCAGTTCTCTCTCCTTGGATAATGTACCATTTAATTTTTACTTTATTTAAAACTATTGATTCTTGCAGTAACATTTGTTTAACTTACAATAGCAATAGATTGGATAACAGATCACATTTTTGGTGATTTTCAACTAGGATTTTCAATGGCTCCTCAGAGTGTTTCTGCCACTCTCCTGGCAGCATACAGAAAATATTTTATGCACTAGCTTCGTTAAACAGATAAACTTTCAGTTAAGAAAAATAATGGCAAAAATAGCCACTAATTTTAAATCTTTGTTTTAAAAAACTATCAGTTGGACCACATCTATTCAATAAAGATGGCAACTGGGAGGGGGAAACCAAAGGGTGGAGTGGCGATGGGATGGCACCAGCCTTTTCCGGGGGACATGGGGGGCAGAAGGGGGCTAGACAGAAAATTGCTATTCATCTTGTGGGTACGCCACCCTTACTTCTGCAGTTCTGCGCTGCTGCCAGTGGTGGCATCAGCCACCGCTCTCTGGCTGCCCAGCTCTGCAGGCAGTGCTGCCGCC